CTGGACTACATGAAAATTTAGCGCACCATCTCTTTAATGGCTAGTGCTAGGTAAAGGAATTCCCATTTTTTCTTTCCAAAAATCGTAGCTTTTAGATGACAGAGCTCTTATGACAATGCAACGTGAAATATCTTCACTAGTCCACCTGATTTTTTCCTTCTTTTCCAGCAATGCGTTAATCTGCGTCTTTGTAAAAATATACTTTAGACGTTTTTCCAAATTCTCCGATCTGTGCTGTTTTTTCCTAAACTTCGCTGTTTGGGATTTTAATTTCTGAATTTCCGATACAAATTTCTTTCTAGATGTTGTCCACCTTCTTTGTCGCTGAGCAAACATTCTAAAATTTTTCTTTTCTCTATTTTTCAATATTTTATTACAATTTTCTAAGTATATTATTTTATTCTTCAAATTATCAATACATTCTTGTTTATCTTTACACTTGGGGCACTCGGGGATATTGTCACATAGGACATTGTCACTTGTGAGTTTTATTTCAAAATCATTCACATTTGATTTATTGTTGTCAGCTTCAATTTCGTTCTCGGCCTCAAAATAACTTTTCTTTGGGCTTAATTCGTGTAGTCTTTCAAAAGCACTCTGCATTAGTTTTCTTTTCAAATGTCTCCGATTTCTTGGTGTTATTTCGTTTACTGCACACGATAAATTTACTTTCGGCACAGCACTGCATTTCAACAGTTTCTTTTGCGGCAATCCAAGCAAGCGATTTCTCGTGTCATCTTCATAATCACTGCACAGAAAATGTTCGCTGCAAATTCTTGTGTTTTTCACATTAATAGAATCCTGTCTCCGACATTTATGTATCCATTCTTTCGTCAAAAGCAAATTGTCCTTGGGGAAAGCATGAAATACAATATCTCTTCCTTTCGTATTTCTATAAGTGTTACGGCACGTTGCTACAGCACAAGAAGCCATAATTCATAAAGGATACTTTAAATATAGAATTTGAAAGGAAAGCAGACTAAAACTATATATATACACACACAAATTATTTTAAATATTTGCATTGTTAGAAAACAAATATGTATGATTAAAATTAAGTTGGGATATGCGACCTCCAGAAAATCGTCTCGCAACTGAATTAAACTACAGTTTTAAAGGCGCGAAATCAGAGCAGGTGCAACAGAAACACGTCAGATTACTTCCGGTTCCCCCCTCCATGAGGCTCGCCTCGGCGAGGAGTCGATCAAAGGAATGACCTAGCCCTTCTATTTATCCCTGGTCGTTACGTAGCAATAAGGTAATTTTGTAAAGATGATAAAGTTAAAATGTTCCGCAATATGAAATTAAAATTTTAAAAAATCTGTTTTTATTTGTAGAAATACTAAAGCTTAAAAATATTCACCCTGTATGAGAGACTGTGACGTTGTTTACAGTTTTAATAACTGTTACAATTCACTTACCGTATTATAATAGTTTGAAATACAAAAAATTTAGTATACTTATTTCTACATCTGTAGAGAATACATTGTGACGTCACAATCTTAGTCCTACACATTTATGAACGTCACATAGCTCCGCCTTCGCAACTTTGTTTATGCATGGCATTCTGAGATTTTACTGGCGATTTTCAAAAATTCGCCAAGCAGTGGGCTAAAGCACATTTTCACCAAAGGGGAATTTTGCAAACTTTCCCTTGCTCGATTCTGTTACTGCGAAAAATGAAAAGAATACAATTATACCCGACATTGTAATACATTTGAGACATTCAATGGATATTTTTCTACCGGAAATATTACCAAAACTCAGAGATGGATACTGGATCTATTTCTATTTGACTTAAATTTGATGGATGATAGTTATCTGAAAAAAGATCAACTTATTGAAATGCGAGCAAGTGGACATGTTCAAATGAAATTCGAACGATTAGAATTGCAACTATTCTGGTGTTCACAGTTACAACGTTATCCAGAGTTGGCGAACGGAGCACTGCAGTTACTCTTACCCTTTGCTACCACCTACTTGTGCGAAATGGGATTTTCATCGCTTTTGCATATAAAAACTAAAGCGAGAAATCGCTTAAATGCAAGTGATGACTTACGTGTATGTCTTTCAAGAAAGGAACCTCGCTTCGCCAGTATAATAATGAACAAACAACAGACTAGTCATTAATAAAAATATTGTTTTGTATTCATATAAAATGTACAATGTTTTTCAATAAACAATAAGTTTCGCAAAAAATGAAATTTTCTAGACTAAAAAAAATTAAAACACATTTATCCATGGGGTGCAAAGATATATTTTCAGATTCAATGGGATGCGACTCGCTAGAAAGGTTAAGAAACACTGTTCTAGACTAACAGGCTTTTCGAGCTAGTAATGAAATAATCTCTTAAACAGAAAGAGAGTATCAGATTAAACTTCAAAATTTCATGAAACGCGCTATTTAAAATACCATTTGATTAAATACTAGGAGCGCAGAATATTAAAATAGTTTTACAAAAATAAATATGAGATTTTGCAAAAATTAAATGCAACAACACATAAATGTCATGCTAAATAACACGTAATGTACTAACATATATAGCATGATAAAAATATATCGAAGTAAATGTAATTTTTTTAGAAGATGCACTTCAAATTTATGAGACATTCTTAAGAAAAAATATTTTATTCCATTAAATATTTACAAACTTTTAATTTTTAAAAAAAAATATTATCATTACTTGTCTCATCAACATTCAATTCATCTTTAAGTATTTTGTTACTGTCACTTAACGAATTATTACTAATTTTTCCAAAACTATATCTATTACCTTAGGTACACTCCAATGTGTTAATTATTACATTTTTAAAAAGGTTTCGTAGTTTTTTCTTTATAGCTTTCCACGATTTTCCACCACGGAGCAGACATCTTGTCGGCCGTGTCAATCTTTATTTCGCTAACCATTCGTTCTGCTCTTTCCATATAAAAGCTTTAAATGGTTTATCACTCAGTTTAGAGGCTGCAACTGATATGTCAGACCATTAGGAATGACATATAATTCTGCATTAATTTCTTTTAGAATCTTCTTATTCCAGTTTATAATACGTATCGCCTCTTTTCTAAATCTAAAATGCTACTCAAATTTTAATCAGTTTTTCGAAGGTGCGTTCGAATAATACGGTAGTAAGAGATGTCTGCAGTTAACACATTTTGAGGAATGACCGTAACTTGAAATTAAAATGTTGGCAGTCTTATTGTCCAAATTTAACATTATGCTTCATGAAAACATGGCCTTTTAAATGTTCCTTCTGTCTAAATTTTACACCACATATTTCACACTGATATGGTTTCTGTCCAGTGTGAATTAAAATATGGCGGCGCACATTAGTTAGGTATCTGGAAGTGTATTTACAAAATAAACAATGGTAGAGGTTTATTCCCACAGATAACTTCTCAGTTCTAAAGAAAGCTTGATACATATGTGAATTTTTAATTGTTGAACCTGCAAAGAGGGGGAAAATAGTTTTATATCACAGGGTTAAAAATACTAGATTAAGTTAAATAACAAATAATTTACCTAAGCACACAAAAATACAGATATATATTCAAGTTTTAGAAAACAGAAACAAATGACAAAACTGACCGAAATTTGTGAACGAATGTACAGATTTATAATTTCAAAATTAAAGTGGTTTTGAAATACAAATACAAATTTGAGGCAGAACATGAAGAACAATTGTTACTATCTCTTAATTTGTAACAATAACAAGTCTTTAAGCCAGTGGGTTCTCCACTCAAAAAGGAATTTCATAGTTTCAGGCGGAGGTGGAAATTTGGCCAGCTTTTATTTACCTGTTAAATGCTTTTAGTTCATGAACATTAAAAAAAAACTACTTTTTTTCAAGTTTTTATATTTATCAATATTTTCTATACTTTTCCTTGTTTAATTTATAAAACACATTAAGAAAATCTAAATTTAAATAAATGTATACGTATTTTTTCGGGTTTTGAAAAGGAAGGAAAGGAGAATGTTAATCTTGCCTTTAAATTCCCCATGGTTAAGGTGAAACAATTTGGTTGCAGCCTCGGAAACAAAGCATGCTGTGAATTTTTTTTCTCAGACACTAGTCAGCCCTGATAATGAATATTATTTTTAAAAATTAGGATATTAAAAAAATAAATTTTACATTAGTGAAAAAAACCGCCAGATAAAATGTTGAACTAATAACTATGCATCTTAAAAAATAATTTTAAGAGTGCAGAGGTTTAAATTAATGCATCATTTCAAATACTAATATTCAATAAAATTATACATAGTAATGTTACATTATTTTATGTTTTCAAGATTCATTTACTTTATATGTATGTACACACACACACACACACACACACACACATATATTTCCAAGTTATTTTATATATCAACCTGACAAAATATTACATAAAATTAAATATACTGGAATACATTTTAAAATTATGTTTACAGAAAGAATGCCATTAATGATTTAATGTTTCTTACATGATAAATTTTTTAAAACAGTTATGACAAAAATTTATGTTTAATGTTTTAATTATATTTACTTGAGAAACAAACTGATGCCTACTTTTTCTTGTGGGCAATCAAATATGCAGCTGCAATTAAAACTCACTTCGAATGCATCTTTTTGGGGGAAATAAGTAATTTCCATGTGCAGGTTCTCGTAAGCTTTCACTGCACCGATGACAAGACATTTCGTTCTAGGAGGGATAGTAATATTATCATCAGCAATTATCTAAGTAGCTTATTTTATTTTCACCACTCCAAACTTTAGTATTTCTTCATTACACAAGAGCAATTCATTATTTTTGACATCAAAATACGTATCTTTTTAAAAGTTAATTCCAAGGATGCACAGATCTGTTATATCAGCCACATAGGCTGCGTGCTTATATACAAAATGCGAACTTGATGTATACATTCACTTTTCCGTATACTGGCATTTTCTTCTCGTTCAGAGTCTGTAGATTTAAAGATGGAATCGTATCCACATGGTACCAGTTTAAACGCCTAATTATATGAGCTCGCAGAATGTTCACGCTCGTTTCGGTGTCTATTATCGGGTAAGATGAGAAATCTCTGATTTTTCCTTCAACGCACAGCGCTTGATCTCCGCATGAAGTAAAGATTTTTGAAGAAAGTTGAATAAGACACTTCCTACAAACGGCAACCTCTGCCCATCGATATGGCCCCTTATTAGTTTTCTTTGTCCTTTTGAAATACTTTTGAGTCTGGAGCTGGAGGCAAAAGACAATGTTTCCGTAAATACCTTTCTCTATTACAATTCCAACATTTTAGTATTATTGTTGGTGTTCTATATCACCTTCGTTACTCTCACCGCCTTCAAATTTTTCATGAGCTCTGTGATCACTTTCAGTATTGTGTCCTCCGTACGGATGATACCCCTTGGCCAATGGGATTTTCTACTGGCATTCTGTGCAGTCTCTATTTTCCTCCCATGCAGTAAAGCGCTTTTAAAATCTTTATCAACAGTTATTCGGATTTTTTGTTGTATAGCGGGATCTCCAAGAGCATCCATAAAATATTGCAAAATCAGCGTCTTTAATTTCCCACCCGCAATCTGGAAATGTTAGATGCGTTAATTTTTCAATATCAGCCGCCAATTCTTGAAGGGTCTCTCTTGTAGGGCGATAATCCTTGAGAAATGCTTCTCCAGACTATAGATCTAATGCATCAACTGAGACTTCAATAGCTGAACATTTTTCGACTTGTAGATGTCTGCAGCATATTCACCTCCCTCATTTCAGCGACATTTGCTTCGATGGGCTTCTTCACATCCGTCTTCATTTTAGCAGAACTCTCTGCTATTGTGCTCTCTATTTGCGGCTTTCAACTGTTTTTCCATCTTCCTGACTATCAGCATTCAAAGAAATCTTACTTCGACAATTGTTGCGGGTTACGGTTTCGTTGATCTCTTTCTAAATGATGACTCCAGATAAACACTAAGAAATACACGATCTGTTATAAAATTTACCTATGCACAGCATAATAAATAACTACGAATAGCTCAAGGAAAACGAAGAAATTAAGCAACTCTCGCTTAATGCGTGAAAAATATTGTCCATATCGAAATCACTTTGACAGTAAACTTTCTATCGCAATTTAAAGAACACTTAAACAACTTGTCCGACAGAGACCGTAGACTTGTCGGACAAGTCTACGGTGATTTGAAGGGCATACAGCATAAATAAGAAGGAATTGCGCCCTAAGAGGTGTTGGAGGTAAAAAAAAAAAAAAAAAATTAAAAAATTGAGCACGAAGAGCTCCGCCGATGTGGCGAAAATAATGGATGAGATTAGGCAGGAACTCTCTCAGATATCATCAAAATTAAATAGAACGATTCCAGCTACAATCAGGATCGCCCGACCATTTTGCTCTGTATCACAAAGCAGTCCTTGCCGTATGAGCGAAAACCAGATAGACTATTCAAGCTGATATTAATCTTTTCAATTAAATCCACAAAATTATTCTTGCTCGCTGAAATTTACAAAAATTTTCAGCCGCTTTCAGGATTACATATAGGATATGCGCTAATAATTTGGCTTTAACGGTTCCTTTAATTAAGGCTATAAGTTTCCCTATGATGACGAAAAAGTTTATTTCAGGTTGCTGATTTTCATCTGTAGTATTCTTCGCGGTTGCTGGGTGGAAATATTTTCGTCTGATTTCTTGGCCAAGTTGGGAAACTTTTATCTGGCTACTGGATGTTTCTAGTTCTCTGCTTCACAGGTTTTTGCAAATTCTTTACATATTTTGGCCATCCCATCATAAGGTTCACGGCAGAATAGACATACAGGATTTTCTTCTTAGAACTGGCACTCCGCAATTCTGCGGTTGTACTTGCATATAACGGAATGAATTACATTAAACCATATGTGCTGCGTGTGGCCAAATATTTGGCAAATAAAGCATTGAGTTAGCCATTTCTTTTCGGGATTGAATTCTTCGATTAAAACGTTGATGCTCATAATGTTATTATTAAGGTTAAATATTCAAGTCCAGTTAAATAAGTTAAGTCCAGCTTCATTTCGTTCATGTTCAAGAAAGAATATCGGCAGTTTTTTTTTTTTTTTTTTTTTTTTTTTTTTTTTTTTTTTTTTTTTTTTTTTTTTTTTTTTTTTTTTTTTTTTTTTATTTTTTTTTATTTTTTTCATGTTTCTTTGTACACTGCTTCACTTGGATGATAGGGAATTTTCTTGCAGCTAAATCGATCTTTATAACTTCCTCTGGGACAGCATGGCGAATTCTTTTCAATATCGTCATCTTCTGTCTTATCATTTCATCTCCAATAGATATGAAAGGGGATATTTTCTTTTTAGACTGTCTTGTACTCTGTGGTAATCATGTAAATTTTAAGAGTTCTCTTCCTATGCTGCACTAGTCAATGTCCAGTTCTATTATGACTATTTGTGAAATTTTCTAATTTTGTATTCTTGTTCATTGCTAGTCTCATATTGAAGCTGTTGTTCACTTCGGAGAGAAAATTTATTTTGCCTTGCTCTTTTTGTATTTTCTTCTGGAGTGTGGATGACCTCTGAGTGACCTAAAGATACAGTTTTCCATTTCTGCTTCATGTTCCTTTGCTTCACTACGAGTTTCCATCTCGGCTTCATTCAGTTTGGAATACTTCTCCATAATAACAATCCAGCAACTCCTGTGTTCGCTTTTGCTACTATTTCTCTCTGTTCCTTTCACTTATTTTAGCTATGTGCTGAATATACAATTAGCGCTGCATTTTCGGGAAGCTCTGCCACTTGTCGCGCCACGGAATAATAATTTTTTATTGGATATATAGGTTCGATTACATTAGAGGAATTTTGCGATTCATCGCTTCTTCCTTTTTAGCCGATATAGTTCTTTTCCTTTTCTTAGTTTTAGAACCAGTTTCATTTTTCGGATGTTTATAGAAGTCTTCTACTATGAGTTTTCAAGATATTTTGGGAGGTTTTCATTACTGTTTATATGTTTTCATTATTATTTGTAGTTTTCTTAGACTCTTCTTCTGCTACCACTGTCTTCTGTCTTTTGCCCTAAATTTTTTGTCTCCATTTTAATATCTTCTTCATCAAGTCCCCGATATTTAAGATTGCATCTCACAGATTGTCTCGCATAATGGTAGTTTTCGGGAATGAATTTTAATTTAATTCTGCCATTCTAAGTTCATTTATTATTTACTTCATTCCTTCGTATTCTACCATTATTGCTGCTAGTATACTACGAATAATTTTCTTTCTGCTTTGTTTCATTTCGGCTAGTCTTATTTCCTATCTTTTTCTTAGCTTTGAAAACTGATTCATTTCTTGAAAATTTCAGTTTAATTTTTCAGTAATTATCCTTGTCGAGTCGATTACTTCATCATCTGAGAGTTCCGAACGTTTATCATCATTCGGCCTTTGAGTTATTGTATATAAAATCCAGATTGCGAGGCAGGCGTACTGCTTCACCAGCTGAGAGCTACAAAAATACAAACCGTCACATTTCAAATAACCCAGATACCCACAGCTCGTCCTATCATTGATTACACAGTGAAGTGGGCATGTTACACGCTTTTGAAAATTATGGCTTAAGGTGTTGGCAATAATAAGATAATCACGCAACAGCGTCGCTAATATGGCGAAAAGCGAAAACCGTCGAGCTGATCTCTAAAGCATGTCCAGCTTCTGTGATGCGCCTGTGACGTAACTTGTGAGACACAAGTTACTGAAAATAATGACACCCTAAAGAGCGAATTTCATGGATCAGTTATAAAATTCACATTATATATACATTTAGTTACCAGTACAAAACTACTCTTAAAAGTAAGAGTAAAGAGCTCTTGATAAAAAAATATTTATACATACAATATTTACATCTGGAATATATAGCAGTCCAAAAGGAATTGTGGGGATAGAAGAGATTCTTCTCACTAGTCTAATTATCAGAAGTTAACGTCTAACTGCAGTCTAGACCAGCAGTTCTCAATCTTTTGAGTAACATGCACCATCTAAACAAAAATTGAAAACCTTTAGTACCACCACTCTTCAACAAAGCCCAGATCGCATAAATTTACGAGTGTTGCATCAGAGAGGTATAGTTC